CAATAAATGGTGATAAAGAACATTCTTTTCATAACCTAAATCCCTTTGTACCTTTAAAACTTTGTATGCTGTTAACAAATTTTAAAACAGAATATAAATTACAAACTGAGCATTCATGATAATGAACAGCTACAAGTAGCCTAAATGTCCATCCACAGCAGCTGCATGCGACAACTAAGAGCGAGCGTGATCTTTGCTTCCAAAGTCGTAAAGTACTCCAAGGCTGTTCAATGGAAGAGCCACTGCAGATCAATACACTTATGTGAAGGGGGAAAAAAATCCCCAAATAATACACTATTTTCCTATGGATACATAGTTGGTATCTATGTACAGGAAGGATGGTGACTAAAATGGTAAGCAGTTATCCCTGCAACGGGGGAGCAGAACTGGGGGCAGGTAGTCCAAGAAAACTTCAGGTGGATCTGTAATTCCCTATTTTTTCCAAGCTGAACACATTTATGTCAAAAGCCAACAACAATAAATGGAACTACTTTAAAATGGAGCTGGAGCTGCCATCCCGAAACTGCTTGTAATGTCTTATGCCTCAAATCTTTGAAATGTTAAAACTGGGCAAAATAACCTTTGCACTGGGCTTAAGCAACCTGTGCCCCAAAGAACTGACTAGAAAGATACAAGAAAGCAGCCCTAGCCTGTCTGGCTCAGTGGATAGAGCGTCAGCCCCTGGACTGAAGGGTCCCGGGTTCGATTCCAGTCAAGGGCACATACCTTGGCTGCAAGTCCCCCGGCCCTGATCGGGGGTGCATGCAGGAGGCAACCGATTGATGTGTCTCTCTCCTGAAAATTAAAAACTGTTCAGAAATGACTTTACTATGTTATCTGACCAACAGAAATAAATGCCCTCCTTGTATTGATATAATCGTTTCCCTTCCTTTTCTCATAAATACCCAATGCCTTTGTCTCTCCATCAGAACACTATTCGGAGCATCCCAAATAGCTGTTCTTATTGACCTCAAGGAAATGCTTGTTGCCTCTCATTTTGTCCTTTTATTTTTAGGTTCACGCATGCAGTGCTCACGCATTTTTTTTGCAAAGGCTGCAGACACGGATGAAATGTCAGCAACAGAGGCTTTTGGCTACTGAATTATGACTTTTCTCCCGTTTCTTTTTATTTGTCTGCACTTTCCAAACAGTGCTCTATAGAGAGTAGGCAGTGACTGTATCATCAGGAAAAGGAAAAGGTAAAGGACTTGAGTTTCCACGTGCGAGGCGGTGAGGGCAGGGGCCCCTGCACGGGCTGCTCAGGCCCCGCCGCTCACTTACTTGTCTGGGACGCCGGGTGCTCCTGGCTTCTCTGGAAGGGATACCTGAACAGCAGTTTATTGCCCCTGCTCCCCGAGCTCACCAGAATCACGCTGATGGGGCTGGTGTTGTCCCCCATTCTACCCGGGGGCCCGAGGGCGGGGGTGGAGGGTTGGGGGGGGAGGGC